AGTAATTGTTCTTAAAATTATTTTCGTAATGACAAGATAACCAAGAAAAAAAATTAAATAACATATTCGGATTGCATCAACCTCCTTATAATTCTAAAAAATAGTGTTTTATCAAACTTCTATCAAATTTTTGAGCTCGAAGAGCTCAAAAACATACAAAAGCTATTTTTTGAGCCCGGAGAGCTCAAAATAACACACAAATTGTATTTATGAGCTCGAAGAGCTCAAAAATTTCATAAGTGCTATTTCAATCGTCGAGATCAAAACGTCGAGATCTGATGAAAACTCGATTTTCGAAAAACGGGGTAAAACCAATAACTTCCTGATTTTTTTAAATCTTCGATTTTCTTAGCGGGAAGTTAAATAAGTATTATAATAAGTAAACTGTATTATAATAAGAATAATTATTCAACTACAACACCTATCATCCTCAATAAAATCAATCTCAGGAGTTCCCGGTCTATTAGTGAAAAAACTAGGGCGGAATACTCAAATTTAAATTTAAATTTCGTCATACAGTACATAACACGTAGTTCGTGTGAGACACAGGTGTGTTTATTAATTGATAAAAAATCTGCTAAAAAATTCTTTCTGTATAATCACAATAAGCTGAAGTGATGAAATTATTTTTTAAAACTCGATAATTCTTCATAGTTAAAATTAATTTTAAAGCTATATTTTTCGACCGTCTTTTATTTTCTATTATTAATTTTATCTTTTTGTTTCGAAATAGCATCCGTGTTTATTTTACAGCTATTATCAAAAACGCTCTATTGTAACTTTTGCTGACGTAGAATTAAGAATTCAATCCATCAGGACTAATTTTAGAAAAAAATGAAGCGCATTCAAATGAATCAAGACTTAAAAAATTATCCGCCAATCTTTTGAGGATGATTGGTTTTCTCTTTCCAAGAGTCATAGTCGAATAATATCTATTACAGGACATTTGGGAAAAATATTGGAAGACATGATAAAGTTGCCGCGTAGAGACCACAATGCAAATGAACTTCACGATAACGTTCTTGGAACCATGGATTACATTTTTGACGGATTGAATTTTATTGACGATGTAACTGAAAAGAAGAAAAATAATCATGGTTATTTGAACATTAGTTCATTGTCAAATTCGGAAGAAAGTGAAACGATTATTGAGTTTTTTGAAATCTTGGAGGGGATTGAAAAAATATATTATGATGATTTTGAAAACATAAAATTTTATGCAGACACTGACAGTATACGGTTGAATAGTTTTTTCGAAAAAACTATAAAAAATATAAATTTTCGCGAAAACATGCAGCTTAAAGATTATTGTCACTTTCCCAATGCTACTAACTCTTTTTCCGGACAAAAGTTAAGCAATATATTCCATTTGTATCTTGAAACTCTGCAGAAAATAGTAAGTTTATTCAAATATACAGTGCAATGGTACCTAATGAAATATTGGTGGTATGCATTTAATGTCGATGTTTTGCAATTGGGCCTGTTCAGCCGAACTAAGACCTTAGTAAACTAAGTAAGTTAGTCAGAGTCAACAATAAAAAACTTTGCGTCATTTCGTCAAAAAATTTTATGGTAAAAATAATTGTGTTAAATATACCGGCTGCACTCAGATAACTTATTTAATTTACTAAAGAATTAGTTCGGCCAAACATAAATTGATTCATGAAGCAGCAGATGCATGAATTATTTCATTTCATAGTTACGTGCAAAATAAATGATTACATAAGATTACAAAATAATTGATGTAGTCCAACATAGGCTCATATTTTTGATTCAGCTTGTATTGTCAAGGACTGTACTTATAATTTATTAGTTAATGTATGTTCTTATTATATTCCAGTTAGGTTCGTCTCCGGTCTGCAGTGTACTAATGACGAAACTGATTGATGGGTTCTACGAACGAATTTTGACTGATATTATCAAAGGATACACGATTATGATTATAGGCTACGAATTTTATGGTATTAAACACCAAGGTTATGGTACGTATCACTTAATAATTTTATGTATGTCATTCAAGTAAACTTTGATGTTGATACTAACGTTTATTTCAAGAGTAATGAATCAATACTATCTTTTATTGTAAAAGAGAAAAAATTTGCGTAAACAGGAAAAGGGTGAGCAAAGTGATTCGGTAAATTGCTTTTCTATTTATTTTGTCAAATGAAGAATGAATATAGACTTAGTGACATACTTCTTTCGCAAATTTTCTCAAATTTCAATGTACATTTTTTTAACAGTTAAATTTTCATATAAATAATCATTGCAAATGTAGGTAATTTAAATTATATAGAAAAATAATATAAATTAAAAAAATAAGAATAAGGGTATTAGTGACAAAAATTTATTTGGTCCACATGTTTTGAAAGAACAAAATTTTTTAAATCAACATTTTCAATAAAATAATTATTTGCAACAGTTTCTTAAATTAATCATCACAATCAACAATAACACTTATTTGGTACGAAATGTTATATTTGATAAGAGGACGTTGTGAGAAGACCGCTAAAAAATGTAGTATAGCTTAGTATGTCTATTCTAGTCATCTAACATATTGCTCCAATAGCCATATAATATTGCTTTTGTACAAATTTTCATTGGTACAGTAACAATTTACGAGAAGCTTTCTAATACAGTAGACTCTCTCTCTCTCCCTCTATTTGACTCGTCCATCAAAACGGAAAAAAATAGGTGCCGCAAGAGGATCTTTCCTGTGGGAGCTACAAGATAAAAATAAAAATTTTAAATAAAGTTAATTTTTAGCAATTTTACACTGTATACAGTCGGGAATGAATTTGGAGTATATTTTCAATTCTATCACTTAGAATACCGGACTGAATACATATAAATAATTTTTGATTAATTAAAATAAGTCACATACGTATATTTTTTTTGCGGGGATTAAAGAAATAGTTAAATTGAAAAAAATTATCAAATTTGTAAAAAACTCAAATTTTAAAGAGAAAAATTCGAACTTGAAAAGCAAATTTCAAATTTTCAAAAAATTCCGAATTTTTGAAAAAATATCATTGTGAGTAAGTAATAATAACAATTTAATTAGGGCATATAAGAATTTTTTTAGTAATCTTAATTTTAGCAATGATAATTAAAATGTATGACATTGGATGAAAACTTTTTTTTTAATATTTTTCTTTCAGGGTTTAATATTTCAAAATCAAAAATTTTTTTTTTAATTCAAAATTTTTCTCAAAATTAAAGTTTTTTTAGCTCGAATTTATTTATTTATTCGAATTTTTTTTTTAAATTCGAATTTCTTTTAAAAATCATAATTTCCCTCCAAAATTTATTCAAATTTGATTATTTTTTACAATTTGAATATCTCTTCAATCTTGACGAAAAAAAAATTCATCTATAAAATTCATTTTACTTGATCAAAAATTAATTATATTTAATCACTTTGGTACTCTAAGTAATAACAGAAATGAAAATTTACTCCAAATTCATTCCCGACTATATACAGAGTAAAATTGCTAAAAATTAACGTTATTTAAAATTTTTAATTTTATTTTTTTACTTCCATAGAAAAAATTTTGTTGCTGCCCCCAAGAAAATCCTATTGCTCCCACAGGGCTGCTTCTTGTTGCAGCACCTATTTTTCCTTCCGCGCAAGACCATTCTCTGTATTTGACTTGTCTTTTCGTCTCCATTATAGTGACAAAATGACTTTTATCCGCCAGTGTGAACGGCTTAATGCCTAATGTGCAAAAAAAGTTTATGAATATAACCTAAATTTCTATACTCTCTACTATAGTCCTACTATACATAGTTTCTAATAATTTCACTTAAACTATTCAAATATATCCGCCACTAAGTCTTTTTTTCATTGGCCGGACGATAAGTTGCCGTGGGAGATCGGATTGTCAAATACAAAGAACGATTTCGTTAAAATACAAAGAGCGAAAAAAAAGAAACACTTTCTTTTTGAGTGTTAATATCTTTCTTATCAAATCGTGAATTTTGTACAATTTCAGTTAAGATAACAATGTTCCTTGTTTTGTAAGCGATTAACATAGATATGTAACAAATGTCATCTCCTTAGTCAAAAAAATAATACTATCGTGGTGAATGTGATACAATTATCAACTCGTTAAAACTTCAAACAATTCATGTTTTATTTGGCTGAAAATAAACACAATTGATAGTAAGGTACCGGCGGGTAATAAGGCCTAGCTAAGGGAGATTTTGGATAAAATCGAAAATATTGCATTTAATTATTGAAATATATCATTAATTTTTATATTAATACATTAGCTATAAAATATAATGGAGTAATGGTAATTTTCACCATAAACAAACACAAAATTAAATTTTTTCAAAAACCTTGCGAATATGCCTTATTTTACTACGGTAGGGTAATAAGGCCTGCGGGTTAAACATACTGGAAATAGTTATACTATACTGAATAAAATTGGTATTAGAGATCAATCATCACTCAAGTTTAGCAACAATACTTTTTAAAATGTTGATAAAAATTAGAAAAATGATTTTAAATTATTAAATATAAAATTATAAAAAATGTCTACCATTTACTCAAACCGTTTTTTAGGAATTCTTCTGCGCTACTTTAGCATATGACGGATGATGAAATGAAGAAGACAGGGAACGTTGTATCGGGACTCGATAAACTTGTAGTGACATTTCTATGCTAGACGCTTCTGCTAGAGAGAAGCCTTTAGCAGAAGCGGTTATTTTAAATATCATTTCTATCACTTAGACCTTATTACCCGACAGGCCTAATTACCCGCGGGTACCGTATTCCAAGAATTTATCAGTTTTCATGATAGAATAAAACGGATCAATCAGAGTCATATAAATTTTGAGCAAACTGATCAAAATCAAAAACCGATGATATTCATAGAACCAATCCATAAGAATTTGTAAAGAGCAAACAGACTTTTTAAATTCTAAAATTTACGGCAATATCATTTCATCAATACTTGCATAGAAAATTCTAAAATATAATCAATAAATATGTCGAGTCACACAATTCTCGCGATTCTGCTTGATCTACAGCAGCCAGCCATCCGTCTAACTATACCGGCGATCCGTCGGCGAGCTCGCAATTTTAAGGTTTTCGATTTTTGCTGTCGTTTTTTATTCCAAATTTTGAATTTCTTGATCATTACTTCGAAAATCAGTACGAGGATTGTCCAAATTGAACATAAAGGGATTATGAGATAGTCAAGCTCAAAATACCCGAAATCAAGTTCGTCATTTTGCTCTGCGGCGTCGATTCTTGCGATTAATTGCTTTTTCCGTAACAATCGTTTAAAGAGTGATTTTTTTTTGTGATAATCCGCGTATCCGTTTTCCACAAAGTTCATTGCGGTCTTATCGAATTTATCTTTGAGTGGCCAATTTTGTCTGCTTACATAATTGCTATATTCGTTAAAATATAGATATTGAGATAAGTGTACTTCGTCGTGTAATTTTTCATAAGGAAGATAATTACTATTCATAATACAAGCAGCTGAATCATTTTTCAAAAGTTTTACTAAGCACTCGGAATATTTCATAATGAAATTTCTGTGTAAGTATTTTTTATCAGAAGTATATGACCACAATCCTGTCATTAATAATTCGTTTTCAATTTTGAAATCAAAATGTACATGAAAGTGATTTGTATACAGCTGTTCTAAGGTATCGACTTGTTGACGCGCTGGTTTCGTCAAAACAGCAGACAAATGACCCTGCAGCGCGGGATTAAAAATCAACATAAACAAGCTAGCAGCAAAAAAAATCAGTCGCATGGACATTCTACTCATCGGGACTATCATTTCCATGTCTAACATTAACGACAACATATCCATGAGAGCTTCGCGTAAATGATAATTGTGGTTTATATAAATCACAATTAAAATTGTTGTTAAAATGAAAACCGAAATATTAACTGTCCAAACATTGAAATAACAGTCGACGATTTGACTAATTACTGGTACAGTTTTTTGTTTTCGCGTTAAAATCACGTAGCCGTCTTGATCGTAGAAAGCCATTATATCTACATATTTCTGGGCGGTAAATTTTATAACGTAAGGTTTCCACAAAAAGTCATATTTACGATTTTTGAATGGATTTCCATAACTAACATTACAAATAGTATACACTACCGGTGTGCTATTAATCATTGATAGCGAAGTTTGGAAGAAATCATTAGTAAGTGGTGACAGAATCTCATGGTTTTTACCGAATGAAGCATTACTTCTTATTCCGTCTTTGACACCTTTTAGCGGAAAGCCGTCCAACCGTGCCGATTTGTCAAACTTAATACTTTCACAGATATTGGCATCTACAAAGATAAGGAGAAAAACTAATTAAAGAATGAAACTAAAAATTTATTACTATACAATACCATTTATAAATCGTTGACGGATGAGTGTCCATCGACTATCTGATCTATCAAAACCTGCTACTCGTTCCCAAGGCTTCGGAGCGTAGTTTGAAAAGGGATTAAAAGTAAAGATCAGCGTTTTATTGTTGAACTCATCTTGACAAATGTAAAACGATGAAAGAGCTTCTATCTCCCATAATAATTTCAATACAGCTGCTGAATTATGGCATTGCGTTCCAACAATGACGAACAGCGACTTCACGTTCCAAATTTTCGCTGTTTTTATTTCGTGAAGATTTTTAATCAGTGCTTCGAGTGAATCACCAGATAGAACAAAAGATGGATGCCGCGGGTAGTATTCTTTAATGACCTTTGATGAAAAATGATCATCTATGACAATTATTGATAGTTTGGCAGTTTCGTCCCTTGGAATTTCGTACACAACATTAATCAGATCGACAGTAACAGCCACCGGCTTCAATTCATCCAAAAAGCACATTTCCAGTAAATGCCTCTATTTAAAAAAAAATCGATTTAAAATTACTATTTTCATTAATTACTCGAAATAAACTACCGTGTGAATGTGGAAATCTGGAGGAAATTGTCTTGAGACACCAATCTTATCATTACACTGAACCACACCACCAACAAACAAACTCAACACAATATATTTCACGCAAAATTTGATAGCTTGCATAACGTTTGCTCTCTAGGACTTGTCATTCATGAATGAGGCATCAAATAGCTGATTCGATGACATACATTGTTAATAGTTAAGGATACGTGTCCACTCGTCAGGATACCACGTATTTTTTTCCGCAGCTGCGTATTCATAGTTGAGTGCATTGCGTGCTTGCAAATTTGCATACATAAGCTCTAGGGAGATTTACTCGGCGTAAGCAGGTGTGAAAAATAGGTATACTTGAACGAAGGAAAACATTGTTTATCGATTATAAAAAGTAAAAAGGTTCTGATATAGCAAGTTGGGTACGGTTCAAATTGTAAAAACCTAGTGGTTGTTGTGGATAGTATTATTGTTTTCCTCAATTTTTAATAATGTAAAAATTGATTAATCAAAACCATCATCCATTTTGCTTCCATAATTACGAACAGTGACACATAAGATTGGTCACTGAATTTTTAGCCTATTTCTTTTAGCAAACTTTCCTCTATAAAAATTTAAAATTTATTGCTCGAAATGAAACATTTTTGAATCATAATATTTCCTAATCTAGATATCAAATCAATTCAACAGAACTATTTCAACAATTATCAAATCACGACAAAAAGAGTACTGTATTCTGTAAATGAATTCAATGCTTTGATATAACTTCAAGTCACACACTGATAGGAGGATTTCTTAACATTTAAGAAGATTTCTTTGTATTTAAGAAATCATTTCTTAAACATCATTTCTTAGTATTTAAAAAATATTTCTTTGTATTTAAGAAATATTTTTTAGTATTTAAGAAATATATATATTTCTTTGTATTTAAGAAACATTTCTTAAATACAAAGAAATATTTTTTAAATACTAAGAAATGATGTTTAAGAAATGATTTCTTAAATACAAAGAAATCTTCTTAAATGTTAAGAAATCCTTCTATCAGTGCAGAATATACAAGAATTGCGATCGTGATTTTCGGGAAGAAGGTACGTAAAGAGTATGCAATAAAATCTCTCTAGACTTGACATGTCAGGCTAAAAACATTCTCTACACTCAAAATTTCTTTTCATCTCTACTATTCCAAAATTTTTTACCTCCATCACGGTTAAATGCGTACTGTGTTGACTCAGTACGAAATTTTAAAATAACCGTCTCAAATGTAATCGGCCATAAGCTGTTGGTAGCGCATTCACGAACGTACGCTCAGAAACACTAATAGAAAACATAATTGTAAAGAGAAATTATCTCGTCTAAAGAGCATGCAAGCTACAGAGTTTAAGTATTAGGGAGATTCTATTGTAGTTGAAAAACACCATTGAATGAATCGTAAAATTTTGCAAGAAAAAATTACATTCGTGTGAAAAATTATGTATCTACGCGTTCAACATACACAAACATCAACGACTTCGACTTTGAATCGCGAAAAAAAAGACATGAAGGGAATGAATGTCATGATATGGCAATCTATTACCTTAGTGGACCCTTATTTATAAATAGTATGCGATGTTCACAGGTACTTACTTTTATCTATTTATCATTTTCTTCACTAAAGGTTAGCTTGCCTCAAGAAAAAAAACCTTGCGCTCAGAACCTCAAACTCAGAACCTCAAAAAACCTCAAACTCAGAAAAATATTCTCAAACTGCCTAGAAAAACTTTCTTGACTCAAGGATTTTTTTTTTTTTGAGCTAAGCTAGTCTTTGAATTAGTGTAATATGAAAAATGAAACCTATAATTGATTATATTTATGACTATGCTCTAGGTGTTTGAAACAAAACCTCCTGACTGCGCAAATTTTTTGGATGAATATTTCTCAATATCTGGCCATGACTATTCGAAATGGAATATCAACTGCTCCTAACGAAGATCACTTGGGACCAATTTCAACACATTCTGTGATTGTGATTTACAATCAGATAGAGTTCTGAGTATCCGAACGTTAAGTTTGAGAGTACATAACGCTGACAGCTATCACAATCGGTAGTAAATGATATAATTACTCATTAAACACTTTATTATCGCGACTAAAATAAAAATTTACTGAAAATTTTGTTATGCTTCATCAGAGTTGTCACAGGAATCAAATTTGCTGTCAAAAATAATGTGGTATTAATAAAAATTCAAGAAGGTACGATGGCTGATGGCATTGTCGATCCCAATTCCGTCCGTTGGGTCCTAGGAAATGGTCAAGATCCAGAGATAGGTCCTTCCACGGTCAAACTGGAATTCAAAATAAAGTCATTCAATCTGGATGACATTGACTTGCCAGATGGATATTTTGTTACAGGTATCTACTGTCATTCACGGTAATTTTGATTTTATTTATAATTTTTATTGCATATGGCTATAACTACCGATATTTATTGATCCCGGTAATGGCAGGTGATAGATTTGTTCTTCTCGAAGACAATCATGTAAGTCTGGGAGTTAGAGGAACGCAAATGTGGGCCATGTCTGAGTCGAAACCGTCGTGGCATCAGCAATGATTCTATCCAGATGTCTCATCCCCCGATGCTAGGAATGATTCCACTCAACTGATTTTTTTTTATTACGGCAAACTTTCATTAAGAATTAGCCGTCATCTAAATAAAATCATGATTTCAGAGAACAAATATATGTCAAGGATTACAAAAATTCTGCTGAGGTTACCGTTGAAAATGTCGAAATAAGCCACTCGGGAAGCAATTACGTCGATTTATCAGTTGGAGTAGTATCGTCTCGATTCAATAATTTGCCAGTGATTCCTTTCTTTGGTTCCCGAAGTGTCGTATCAAATCCACCATCTCCACTTGGCGTACTGGGATTGCTTTACAAGGGACAGCCTAGTTATGGTGGATTTTTTGCTCTCAAATTGATAGCATCTAGACATTCATACGATATTTATTCTGATATAATTGCATTCAATAATCATTAAACATTTTATTGTTTCAATTTATGTATCAACAATTGCAATAAAAGTTGCTTTAGTCAGGATGTTGCTCAATAGACAAAAAAAGTAATTAACTATTTATAAACCCCGAGTGATTCCCAGATAATCTATTTTCAGTTCACAAAATACATTTTAAAGTAAAAAAAAATTCGTTGCAATACTCAAAACATTTAAAGATTTTATTAAAGACTCGTATACCGTTTCCAAGATAATGATTTCAAATCATTTGTTTAATCCGAACCTGTTACTTTTCTCAATAATAACTGCAAGTTTGTTCATGAATGTGGTTTTATCTAGAAATAGTGATTACTTTTACGGATCATAAAAGTTTAATGAAAGTTTGAGTGCATCATCTGAGCGATATGTTAGAATCTCTTCTGTTGCTGAACATTTTCGTGAAGTTTTCAATAAACTTACCAATCTACAAACCGATAATCCTTTTCATTTCCAAATAAATGAAAGTTCACTGGCACTGATAACGAATTTAAAACAAGGAATCAAATTTATTCGGTCCATGGCCAGTATTGAACTCAACAGAGACTTGAAGAATCTGATAAATTCTTTTAATGACTCTTCAATATTGAAATTTCAAAATTATGTAGATCGCATTCAGAGTTCATTTATTTCCCCGTTTTCACGTCTTTTCATGAACGATCCTTATGATCCTGACAACATTGAGCTGTTTCTCATGGAAACTATTTATGATACCAATTTTCATAACAATTTTAATGAGTTGTACCTCCAAAATTCAGAAACGAATTATAGAAACTTGACAGGATCTATTGTGAATATCGTTCCAAAATATCTGTTGGTCACTGATTCTCAGGTAAGCAATAATCTTGAGCTAGTAAAAAACATATTTGATCATTCTAATGACTTGAATTCTACCCTAAGAAAAAATTTTCTTGTTAAAAAAATGAGCAATGTTGTAATGGGAAATAAATTTGTTGAAAATTTCCAACAATTTTATTTCTTAGCTGAAAAAATAAAAAACTTTTCTGTCCTCCATCCGAAAAGTAGCAACTTTATGGCCGCTGCGCTAAACGAAATTACTACATTCTGGCTACGTCGTCTTAAAAAATAGTATACACACTTTGGCCAGTAAAAAGTAAAGCCATGTGGCTCGAAATTTAAATCGTAGATTCAACGTATTGAACGTTCAAATCGTACATTCGACGTATTGAACGTTGAAAACGTAAGTTCAACGTATTGGACGTTGAAATCGTAATTTGAACGTATTGAACGTTAAAAACGTTAGTTGAACGTATTCAACGTATTGTGAGCGTAAATCGATTTTAAATTTTTCTGGTGCAAGTACATTTTACAAATTCATTCCACTGAGGTGAAAATTTTAATTATTAATGAAATTTTAGGTATATTGAAGCTTTATGCTTGAAAATCTAACTGGTCAATGAGCTCCTCAAATCTTTAAAATATTTTTTAAATACAAATGAAAATCAATCTGATAGTTTTCAAAGATCTTAAAATATCGAGATTGAATGAGAATTTGGCTCTCAAAAATCAATCTTAATTTAATAACTTCTTTAATTCCAATTAACCGTAATTTTATTAGTTGATTAAATAAGCAAGTAGCTAAACATTAACTCAATCATCAAATCTTTGGGAAAAGCTTTTAACTAAATTTAGCCTATAGGTTATTTTTTACGGATTTGTATATGACATTTTTTTTGTAACTTTTAATTTTTACTACGGATTATATATTCTTTTTAAAACAGTTGAATCTATATTTTTTACGTTCAATACGTTCAAATTACGATTTCAACGTCCAATACGTTGAACTTACGTTTTCAACGTTTAATACGTCGAATTTACGGTTTAAACCTTCAATTACGGAAGCCTGGTTGGCTCATCGATGACTTATAAGAAAGTGGCGCTACACTCGCTTATTGTTTACATGTATACTACCCATAAGTATAAAAGTAACTAGTAAAAAAGTCACTAGTGCACTTCCAACTTGTGCACTTGTTACTTGTGGATCCAAAATAGGGACAAAATGGCGTCATTTCTCAGTCATTAGGTCATTACGTACATGTGTTCAGATGCAAAATAGAAACATCAACAATTAAAGTATAAATAATATTTTTTTAATGATAGTAAAAGAAAATTTTCAACTAATTACATAAAACAAATTATAACCAAGGCGCGCAGTAGCCTATCGGATCCGGCCCTTGCTACCAAAGCATTGGACCGGGTTCGAATCCGGCGTACACCAATGAATATTTTCAATATTTAAGTGTATTATTCTGCTCAGCCCAAGAAATACAAACGAGTTCCAATCTCAAAAGT